GAACGCGAGAGTAGCGGCAGCTGGTTCAAGTGGTGTCAGTTGGCAGGAGTTTTGTCTTTGCTCTGGCGTGCTACTGTGTCGCCACCTGGGCAGCTGTGTGTGTGTGTAGAGGTGTGTGTGTGTGTGTGTTTGGGTGTGTAGGTATGTGTGTGTGTGTTTGGTGTGTGGTGTGTGTGTGTGTGTGTGTGTTGTGTGGATGTAGGTGTGTGTGTTGTGTGTTGTGTGAATGTGTGTGTGGTGTGTGTGCGTGTGTGTGTGTGTGTGTGTACGTGTGTGCGTCTCTGTCTTACCAAGATTTAAGACCAAATACATCTCGCCAAGAAAGAGGGCAAAACAGCGCGGGGAAAAACGTGCCATGACACCGTAAAATTAAACTGCGAGAGATATAAAAATCACCCCCACCCCACACCACCCCCCACCCCACCCCCACCCGCCCGCCCTCCCGCCCGTACACGAGTCGCGGGTGGCGCTGCCCAGGGCCTCGGGGTCACAGCTGGCCCCTGAGGAATGCAGACGCGGCCGGAGCTTCCTCGTTGGTCCACGCCGCGTCCACCCTCGCGTCAAGGGAGGGGGAGGGAGAGGGTGACGGGGGTGGGGAGAGAGGAGGGGGGAGGGTTGACGGGGCGGGGAGGAGGAGAGGAGGGGAGAGGTTGTAGGAGAGAGGAGAGAATGGGGAGAGAGGGGGAGAGGGGGAGTTGGAGAAGGAGGGAGGGAGGAAAGAGATGGTAGGAGAAGGGGGGTAGGAGGAGTGTAAAGGGAGATAGAGATGATTGAAGGAAAATGAGGATAAGAGATACGAAAAAAAATAATTAGGGTAGGAGGAGGATGTGAAGTGGAGAAGCGCTTCACCAGGGTACGGCCCATGACACCTCCCCCTCCCCCTCCCCCTTCACCCTCCCCACTCCCCCCCCTCCCCCCTGGCACACCGAAACATCCCCCAAGGTGTTATCCGTCCGAAGGCGCTCGGATTGACCCAGACGTCCGTCCGGCTTGTCCCCCCCCCCCCCCCCCGGTCCTTCGGGTGCCGTCGAGGGAGGCTGACGAAGGCGACGAAGGGGGGAAATGTCGAGGCCGAAAGGGGGAGTGGCTTATCGAGGCGGGAGGGAAGCTCGTGTCGCTTTTCAGGAGAAAGGACGGGCGGAGCGAAGGGTCGCTGTCGTGTGTGTGTGTGTGTGTGTGTGTTCATGTATGTGTATGTGTATGTGTAGAGAGAGAGAGAGAGAAGAGAGAAGAGAGAGAGAGAGAAGAGAGAGAGAGAGAGAGAGAGAGAGAGAGAGAGAGAGAGGAGAGAGAGAGAGAGAGAGGAGAGAGAGAGATGAGAGAGAGAGAGAGAGAGAGACAGAGAGAGAGAGAGAGAAGAAGGAGAGAGAGAGAGAGAGAGAGAGAGAGAGAGAGAGAGACGAGAGAGAGAGAGAAGAGAAGAGAGAGAGAGAGAAAGAAAAGGAAAGAGACAGATAGGCAGGGAGAGAGACAGAGACAAAGCCGGGAAGAAAAAAAGGCGTAGAAGAGCGGAGAAGAACGAGAGAGAGAGAGAGAGAGAGAGAGAGAGAGAGAGAGAGAGAGAGAGAGAGAGAGAGAGAGAGAGAGAGAGAGGAGACGAGAGAGAGAGAGAGAGAGAGAGAGAGAGAAAGAAAAGGACAGATAGGCAGGGAGAGAGACAGAGACAAGCCGGAAGAAATAAAGGCGTAGAAGAGCGGAGAAACGAGAGAGAGAGAGAGAGAACAGACAGAAGCAGAAAGAGAGAGACAGAGACAAAATCGGGAAGAAAGAAAGCCGTAGAAGAGCGGAGAAGAACGAGAGAAGGAGAGAGACAAAACAAAAAGACGGACCATCACGAGTAGATAAAACGAGAGTTGAAATCGCAAAAAAAAAATAAAATCGAGAAACCGAATCCGCCGGAACCGCCCCCTTTCCACGCCCACCGCCTCGCACGAGCGTAAAATATGGGTGCCACGGTGCCACCCTCCCCGCTGTGGCATCGCGAAATTCCCGCCGCAGGGTACGCAATTATCGGCCGTGTGATGGGGGTGCCAAGTATGGGGTGCCACGTCTGCCATCTCCCGGCCGAGCTCTGTGCCCCGTTGTGTGCCGTGGATCGCCGCCCGTCGCCTGGAGCTAGGGGGTTGGTGGGCGGCTTCTTGTTCTCCTCTTCGACTTCTTCTATTATCTTTCTCTTCTTTTTTCTTCTGCTTCTTCATTTCTCTCATTATTATTATTATTATTATTATTATTATTACTATTACTACTATCACTATTACTATTCTTCTTACTTTCTTCTTTCTTCTACTCCTCCTCCTCCTTGCTATCCTACTTTTCCTCATTTATTCTTCTCCCCCTTTTTCTTTTCCCCCTTCCCCTTCCTTCCTCGTTTCTTCTTCCTGTCCTCCTCCTCCTCCTTCACCTTCTCTTTTTTCCTTCTTTCTTTCTCCTTCTCCTCTTATTTCTCCTATTTATTCTCTTCCTCATCTCTCATCATCGTCCCCGTCCTCCTCCTCCTCCTCCTCATCATCGTCCCTGTCCTCCCACTCCCTCTTTCTTCTTCCCTCTCTCCTATATTTCTTTTTTTTCAGCTTATTCTCTTTTTTCCCCTTTATTTGTTTTAATTCTCCCGCTACTATCCAACTCTCCGGTAGTCTCTCCTTCTCTCCTCTTCTCCTTCGTCATCGTCAGTCATCACCATTTTCACGTCATTACCCGAATCCGCCCGAGTCCAGAAGGATACGAATCGGCTCCTGGGTGATGCTTGGTTTGGGAGCGTGGGTGAAGCGAGGAGAGATTGTGGAGGGGGGGAGGGGAGGGGAGGGAGGGTGGGAAGTAGGAGAGGGTAGGTGAGGGGGGGGAGGAGGGTGGGAGGGGGGGAGGGGAAAAGGAGGAGGGGGGGAGGGGAGAGGGAAGAAGGGAAAGGGGGAGGGAGGAAGGGAGGAGGGAGGGGGGGAGGTGGGAGAGGGAGGGAGAGAGGAGAGCCGAGAGAGCGGGCAGGAGGGAGGGAGGCAGGGGGTTAAGGAAGGAGGAGGGAGGGAGGGGGTTAAGGAAGGAGGGAGGAGGAGAGCCTAATCTGTGCAATTTGGGTCATGTCACCGCATACAGCTGAGCGCTCTCTCGGCTGACAGGAGCCTCTGGTGGCTGACGTGACGAATGGGGTGTTTGCGGCGGGACTTGAAAGGGCGTGCGCGCGCGCTCCGTCTCGCGTTTGGTCGAGGTCGTTTTCGCGGGCGGGGGTGCCTTTGGGAGGAGGGCGGCGGGCTGGGTGGGATTTTTCCGTTTTTTTTTTTTTTTTTTCTACATTTTTTTTATTATTTTATTATTTATGTTTTATTTTTTTTTATTTTTTCTTCTTTGTTTCTTTTCATCTCGTGTTCTGTTGTTTCACTTGATTCTCCTGTTTTTTGGTCGGTCTTTCCCCTTCCTCTTCTCACCTCTTTATCACCCCCTCCTTCTCTCTCACCCTGTCATCCCCACCGTCTTCTCACCTCTTTATCACCTCTCCCCTTCCCTCCCTTCTTTCCCCTCCGTTGCCCCCCTCCCTCCCCTCCCCTCCCTCCCCTTCCCCTCCCTTCCTTCTCCCTCCCCTTCCCTCCCCTTTCCCCTCCCTCCCTTCCCATCTTCCCTCCCCTCCCTCTCCCCCCCTCCCTCCCCTCCCTTCCCTCCCCTCCCTTTCCCCTCCCCGTTCTTTTCCCTCCCCTCCCCTCCCCTTCTTTTCCCCCTCCCTCCCATCCCTCCCGTCCGTTCCCCTCCCTCCCCTCCCTTCCCCCCCTCGCTCTCCCCTCTTGGAGGCCGTTCGGAGGGGGGGCGCTTCTGTTCGAGAAGCCGTCGGGGGGTTGGGGGGGGGTCGCGATAAGGATACAAAAAGGAAAAAAATAGGGGGGTTTTGAGGGGGGGCGGGGGGGATGGGTTGGCGATAAGGATAAAAAAAATAGGGGGTTTTGAGGGAGGGGGGTGGGTTGGCGAAAAATAGGGGTTAAGGGGGGGGTCGCCGATAAGGATAAAATAGGGGGTTTAAGGGGGGGGGTCGCGAATAAAGGACAAAAAGGGGGGTTTAGGGGGGGGGGGTTGGTGTTCGAGGGGGGGGGGTGGAGAGAGGTGGTAGGGTTCTGAAGAAAATATCTTTGACCTCAGTGGTACTTTTTCTGATGGTTTCGCGTTGATCGAAGTGCGATAGTCATGCGATGATGACACTGATGGTGATGATGATTATAACAGCGATGGTGATGATGATGATGATTTTAATAATTAAGGCAAAAAGAGTAAATGATGATATAGTAATACCAGTAAGGATAATCGATGATAATATGATGATAGTAAAAGTTCTTGTTATTATCATAATTGTTATAATGATAATGATAATAATGATAATATTATTTTTTTTTTAATGAGAATGATAAACATGATGATGACATCAATAATAATGATAATAACAATGATAATCATCATCTAATTCATAATCATAATAGTAATGATAATGATGTTTTTAATGATAATAATAATGAATTTATTATATATCATCATTAATTATTATTATGATGATGATGAATGATGATGATGATGATGATGATGATGGCAACGGTAAAGATAACCGGACTCAGCCTCCGAATTTGACAAAACGTAAATTCCGGTAAAGACTCAGACGCTGATGCTGAAGAAAAGCGGGAACTGGCAAGACACAGACAGGCGCGTGGGTCCCGTGCCAGCTCTCCCACAGTAGAATCTGCAGTCAAGCCCACACCATCTTATTCCCGTCCGTAGCGCGCCCGCTCGCGTAGGGACTCGCACCTACAGGTCAGTGCAGGTACAGGAACCTCTCTCTCTCTCTCTCTCTCACACACACACACACACACACACACACACACTCTCTCTCTCTCTCTCTCTCTCTCCTTCTCTCTCTCTCTCTCACTCTCTCTCTCCTCTCTCTCACTCTCTCTCCTCTCTCTCCTCTCTCTCTCCTTCCCCGTTTCAACTGTTGCATTGCCGCGCCAAGACACTAATGATCGTCACCGTTGCAGGGGTGTATGGGAGCAGCGTGGAGTCGACCAGCCACATGCCCTCCGCCCCGCCCACGCCACCCACCGCAGCGAGATGGGCGTCCGCCGACCTCCCCGAGCAGCCCAAGTCGAGTCCGGCGGCAGAGGCTGAACGGATGACCATGTACCGGTGCATCATCTCCTCCATTGTGGAATCCGAGACCATTTACCTGGAGTGCTTGGATGTGGTGTTGCAGGTGAGTGGCGTTAACTACCTCAGGATGTTGTTTATGTGGTTTATGCATATGCGGTTCTTGTTATCGTATGTGTATCACTTGGTGTATAGAATATGTATTACCTCTGGAATGTATGTTGTGGCAATACTTATTACATGTAGGTATGCAGTTTATTATCTTTTGTGACTTATTCAGTTTGATTATGACCATATGACATTTTAATCCTAGAAAGTTGAATGTTAAAAACTGAACCATGGTTTATAGGTAATATTTTTTCATTATTGGGTAAATCCAATTCTGTACACCCGTCTTTCACATTACACTTATACATAGGGACACCGGTGAGTGGTAATACAGTTTCATATGGCCACAAGATTATTTGTGGCAAAAACACGTTAAAGTGTATAAATATTTGTGAGTTGTGATAGTAACGTTGTTTCGTATTTCTTCAAACACAACAGAAATTCCACGATACTCTTAAAATTGCACTGTATGCCAGCTAACGTGACCCATCCCTACAGTACATGAAGGCCCTGAAGGCTACCCTGACGACCTCCCAGCCCGTGATCTCGCCGGACGACTTCTCCACCGTGTTCTACCGCATCAGCGAGACAATCAGCGCTCCGCAGCACAGTGCCTTCCTCCAGGGCCTCAGGGAACGCTCCTCGCAGCTCGATGGCTCTGGGCCCTTAGAGATCTGGAATCTCCCATATGGAGGGTAATCTATCTTTTGGCTTGCAGTTTGGAATGAGGTTTTTATATAAAGGATTTTTCATTCATATATTTTCAAATGAGTATAGTAAGTGAAGAATCTGTCATGCCACTTGAGAAAGAAAGGATTAGAATTTTTGTTTAATTTGTGATAACTTCCAAGACAAACTATATTCATATAAGTTCACATCACTTTAATGCAACTCCTTTATGTGTCATCTTTAAGGTAACTTTCATTTGCATTATTGTTCATTAGGTAATATTTTATGTATTTTTATCCCTTGTCTTCTTAATTACTGTATCCATCTCATTACAAGGTTAGCATAGTTCCTTTCAAAATGTATTTTTTTTTTTTAATGAAGGTTTAATAGCAGAAACACTAACACAAACACTCTTCCACAGGCAAGCAAGTTAGATGTGTATGCCTCCTTCCTGCAAAACTACCCTCGTGCCATAGAAACTGTGAGACGGTGCAGTTCTCAGAGTCCTCAATTTGCCGACATCACACGTTCCATCAAACTCCGGTCCCTCCAGGGCCAGCCACAATCTCTTGAGGACCTCTTGCACAGACCCGTTGCAAGAGTCCAGAAAAATGCTCTAGTCCTTCATGTAAGTTTTTTATTTGGTATTTTATTGTCTTGCTTAGTTGATTAACTATTTTTTGTCAAATAATAGGGATAAGGAAGAGGTAGTTAAACTCTTTTGAGGTTTAGATAATTTTACACATTTAATGAAGTCTGTGTTTTTCAGCATTTTACTCATAAGTAATATTCATTAATAGATGTATGAAAAAATCTATATGGATGTAATGGTATATCATGACTAATGAATAAGAAAGTCTGTTTATCACAATATATAGATGTATAATGTTATGATTGCATAACAGATTACAATAGCCAAATCACATTATAGTTTAACTAATTTTCATTTTCATTTTCAGGACTTGCTCAAGTATACTTCAGAGAACCATCCTGATCATGAAACTTTGAAAGAAGCTCTCAAACTTACACAAAACTTTTTAACACACCTCTCAATGATTCACACTGAGGCGATGTTTCCAGTAAGTAATATGGCATGAAGCTCTACAACTGAATTTTATTTCCTTTTTATTTATATGTAACTTAACCTGTTGGATCTTATCATCATGAAAAATTTGGCTAAGGGCTGGGGTGACGGGAAAGTGTTATTATGAGATATTATTGCTGAGTGGCGAGTGACAGACATCTCACCATGGGTGCATAAGGCTCTTGAAAAGGAATTAGACTCAATGAATCTTTAGGAAGGGGCTTTTGTATTATTTCCACCAGTAAACAAGAATAAAATGTAATATGTGTAAGCCATGGCTGGAAGAGTGCTGGCTCCATCGAGGACATTTCAAAGTGCAGCAACCTATTCCTGCCCACCTTAATAGGCAGTTTAGGATGTGTTCAGGAAAAGTGAATATTACTAAGATGAAAACAAATAATACAAGTAACTTGTTGATACTGGCTGTTATTGTTTTTGCATAGAATTGTAGACTACCTAGAGAGATTATATGGAGTCTGCTCAATGAAAATTATCTATTCTAATGTTGATACAGCATAACAAATGACAAATATAGACCTTAGAAAATGGCAAAACAGCACATGCAGAATAAGAACTAATATCATAGCAATGAGGAGGCAAGGAGTCTTGATACTGTACTTGATTTTTTTTGTGTGGGCAGGGCCTACAATATACATACCTAGGAGAGTGACCACTCAAGTAAACTAATGCCTGGATATTGGTCCACATGCAAGCTGCAGGGCAACCAGATCCAATGGGTTGAAATAACTTTAATACTTTTATAAGTTAGACATCCAGATTGATCAGTCTGATTAACTTAGGTAGAATCAATTAAGTTCATAGGAGTTTTTACGTGTGCGGTTATTAATATTTTTTATGTTTACAGGCTCAGGATCGTCCTCAGCGGCACTTGGTTCGCAATTCATTTATTGTAGAGTTGGTTGAAGGTCACAGGAAACTTAGGCATCTCTTTTTGTTCAATGATGTAATAGTTTGTGCCAAGTACAAAGTAAGTGGCGCTGTGAGTATATTCATATTTTTTGTTGCCTTTAGTTATAAGTGTTAATTAATGATGGATTTAATTTTTCTCTATATATTGCTGATTGTTCTTTCCATAATAGAAAAAATGATTTGTCACTTTTAGTTTTTGGCATAAATAACCCTTATTCCAAGGTTTGTTTACCTTTCTTGTGGAAATAAGATTGAGTATAATAAGACATAGCAAATTCTAAATATTTTTTCTTCTTTTTACAGCCAACGGGAAGATCAGAGAAGTTTACATTTGAAGTGAAATGGTACATTAGCCTCCATGATATAGCTGTGTTAAATGACAGTGGACCAGAGACACTAAAAGAATCTAATCCTCCAAACTTGGTCTCACTTAAGTCACAAGCCTCTACTATTCGCGACCAGTTGAGACGGTTAGACAGTATGGGTGAAAAGGGGGTAAGTGGCAGTAAAGTTGAAATAAACTGATATACATTAAGTTAAGAAAGAAATAGCAGAGAGAGAGAAAAGTATAAATTTTCATATATTTAGATAGAGAACAAGTTATTGCAATTTTTTTTTTTTTTTTTTTTCTAATGTGAAAATTGTACAATAAGAAATCAATTATTGATCATACATAATGTTCATTTCCACTTCCCTTACAGGCTGGCCGAATGAATCAAGCACGAAATGAAAAACATCGGAAGAAACTAGCTGAATTGGAAGCCCAGCTAGTTCTAGCATCTCCCAATCTCCCATTTAGAATATCAAAGCGAGCGGGACCTGTCCACACATTCCTTCTAACTTCAGAGTATGAGCGAGATCAGTGGGGTGAAGCCATCCAAGTACTGCAGGTAAGGGTGAATGGCAATGATGACGGAGGTCCTTTTTGCCAATAAGTGTGTAGGGGATGGGGGATTTTTTGTATGTTGTTTGAACAATTTTACTTTTCACTGGCTTGCCTTCACAGGTCTCGGGTATGTCAGCTTCAGATCGCAAGTTGAGCAGGACTTTTCTCCTAAAGTTCCATTTGCTACAGAGGGGAACACTTCTCATAGAATCTCTCCATCCACACTTCCCTCGGGCAATAAAGGCCCATACTTCCTCTCGCTCTCTATTCACTTCATGCTTCGTGAGCATTACTTTATAGGATTGCGGTTGCTGCCCTGCATGATCGATTTTGCAGAGATGTGTTTGCAGTCCCATTGGATTCCTCACACTCAGAAGATGCAGTTTCTTTTGTCTTCAGTACCATCCTTTTCTTCTTTTTTTTTGTGATAATTTAACAAATGATTGTCCTTCTCTTTGTTATTACTATTTTTTTTAATGTTCATGATTATGAATTATCATATCCCTCCTTCAAATCAGAGTTCTTTACGGCTATGTGGTGGATTTATTTTTAGAAAATGAAGTGTGTTTTAATTAGCAGTTGTTTGGTTCTTTGCACAATTTATTTATAAGAAGTGATTATGAGTGGAGTGATGTATCCTGTCCTGAGTGATTTGTCTGTGTTTCTTTTCCAATATGATTTTGGTATTCATCCAAAATGTATCATTAACAATTTCTCCAAAACCTTACAGGCCAACACCCCAGGAGTTGGTGGAAGTTCTCTCACCCTCCATGAGCTCCAGGGATGGATCACAGCCTACAGATCCTTCCTGAAGACCAACATGGGTTCCTTCTTACTCAAGTCAGGGAGAGACGATTCTTTACTGCTTGGTGACCTGCACATTGTGGTTTCTAGTCTACATGGCCTTACTAGACCTGCAAGTGAGTGCACTTTTAAGACAAAAGTTGTGAAGTTATAAAATACAGATAGCCTCATCTTTGTACATATAGAAAATCACAAGTGTACCTGTGAGTACGTTCGTGTGTACTTACATTTATGCATCTATGTACTGTGGAGATGGATTTAGAAATCAGAAAAGAATTGTCTGTCCGCAAAACTACGTCCAATACAAAGTATAATTTACTAATAATTTTACATTTCCAGAGATGTTTGTGTGCTTCGAAGTAGACTCGTATGGTCATTTCTTCCGTAAAGTAAAGACAAAACAAGCTGACGGTGTTGAACCCCACTGGAATCAGGACTTCATAATTGAATTGGAAGGGTCACAGACACTTCGAATTTTATGCTATGAAGAAGATCCAAAGTTGGGTGTGCAACTGAGGGGAAAGGCTCACCTTGAGGTAACTTTTTATGTAGTTTTGCACACTTTTGATTTTGTAATGAGAATTTTAAGTGAAGCTTAAATAAAGCAATATATAGGACATTATACTTTAAACTAATATATCTGTCTCTTCCATATCAAGTTTCTAATTAATGCTCTCATTCCATTAGCTGTCACGTTCATGGTTGAGTGACACCTTGAATGAAAGGCGGGTCAGTCTTCAGGATTTGGTGTTGGTGCTTTCCCTAAAGTTCCTTCCTCCTGAAGCCACACTCAGAAGAGTCCCAACTGGAAAGTCATCTGGATTGTTTGGCACTAACATTGCCAATGTGTGCAAGTGAGCATTATTTTCCTTTTCTGCTCATTAATTAAGTATTGCTGTTAATGAAAGTGTTCGAGGGGGTTAAGGGAAAGAATATTTGTATATTAAATCTTCTTGAAGATTATGTTTTCCTCTGGTGTCTCTTCAATGGTTTTTCTTTTCAATAGGCGAGAAAAGAGAAGTGTACCATTTATAGTGACAAGGTGTGTGCGTGAAGTGGAAAGACGTGGGATGCAGGAGGTCGGAATATACAGGGTATCTGGCTTAGCATCTGATATCACAAAGCTGAAAAAGTCTTTTGAGTCAAGTAAGTCTTTGTAGCATATATATATTAAGAGGTTAAAATTAAGAGATTTTGTGAATGACTTGTTATATATATTAGTAATTGATTTCTTGCTTATGTATTTTTGTATGTTATGTATTTTTACAATTTTCAACAGATCCGTATGAAGCTGAACAACTTGTCAAAGAGGTGGACATTCATTCAGTTACTGGCCTTCTAAAGCTTTTCCTGCGTGAACTTCCGGAGGCTCTCTTTACGGATGAACTCTATCCTCGTTTCTTTGAAGCATACAGTGCTGCAGATCCTGAGTACCGGAAAACCACAATACTCAAACTATTTTCATCGCTACCCCAGCTAAACCAGTCAATTATCGCCTATCTTCTTGAACATTTAGTAAAGTAAGGAAACTGTAATGATTACTGTGAACTATGACAGGCATTTATAGTCCTATGTATTGGAAATTTGAATAGCATTAAGAATTTACAAGGACTGATAGAAATTCTCTTTCCAGTTTATTCTTAATGTTCTGTGTAAAGTGAAAAGATAGAAGTTGAAATTTCATGATTTAAGGCATGAATTGATCAATCTATATCTGCTTAGAGCCTCTTGTATTGAAGAAAAAATTGTTACTTCTGATATTGATTATTAATTTGTTCTTTTTCTTTTTTTTTTTTTTTTTAGAGTACACCAGATGGAGCATCAGAATAAAATGTCTCTTCATAACTTGGCCACAGTCTTTGGGCCAACGCTGATCCGGCCAGGAGCCAAAGCCGGCAACCCGTCTCCAGCAGAACAGCTGGCAGCAGGCACAGTGGATGTCATGGCTCAGGCAGGAATACTCCATTTCTTCCTCACAAGACGTGCACATGGAGAACCAATACAGGGTGTCAACCAATAGGTGTAGAGTCATATATTGTATGTGTGTGTATATATATCTATTATTTAATATTTGTTTTTAACTATCACTTTCTGAACAGAAGTTCAGATCATAATACTGGACTCAATTGCCATTAAAGGCCTTATGGATGGTGGTATCAAGGCTTCTCATTCTCTGGTCTAGATGCAATGCTATAGAATTATCTAGTGACAACACTATGTATATAAGACATTTATATTGAACTTTACAGTGAATTCTACTGTGTTTTCTCATATTAATTGCTAGTGGCTAAAAGTAAATACTGCCAACAAGATGTAGATGTGGAAAAAAAACTGATATTAGTGGAAAAAGAAAGAGGAAATAAAATAGATTAAAGATCTTCCATATTTCCATATTTTGTATGTGAAGTGGAAGTTGGTAAACATACCCCTGGAAAAAGGATAGTTTTTCAGACGGGACTTTGTAACCTCAAATGCCTTCCTGTTCAACCCACACATTTTATACTCTTTGATATCATAATCCTTTTCAGGTTTTTAGGTTAAACTTGGATGTTCTTTGCTTTTTTTTTTTACATGCGAGTGCTAAGACCATTGTTCTGTTCAGTAAAGTTCATGCATTTTGCCCCAGAAGAAAAGAATCAGTGCCTACTGGAAGAGAACCTAACATACACTGTGAAGTTTTCCACCTTCATGTGAGTTGTAGATGATTTTAGATAAATGTGTCATTTTTGGAGGATGCAGTAGAGAGCCTTAGACACTTTTTTACGCAAGTAAAATGAAGATAGAATAAAGATGATATATATTTATGTGAGCCTCAGGAGATGAGCTGAACTTGGATTTTTTTTCTCCTTTTCTACTTTCTCTGTTCTCTTGAAAATGCTAGTCACTACCATGTGAAAGTTGGTATGAATGAAAGTATGATTTACATTCGTGTTGAGCTTTACAAAACTTGTCACTGAATTAATTTATAGCTGTACCAGATACCCATTCTTTATATAACAATCCTTGCAACTGTAAGCAGATTGATTTTTTTGTGACAAATCATATATTCCTGGTACTGATTCATTTCTTTTTCTGTCATAGAAATATTTCACAGTAAGATTTGTGGAGAATCATATTAAATCAATATTCAGGTAAAAAAAAACTTGACAGTTTGTCAAAGTAATTTAGTTATTGCATAAAGAAGAATGGTTAGTCTCATAGATTATGTGAATACTTGTATTTCTGAGAATACATAAAGCCTTACATAAAGTAAATTTCTATAGCCAGTGACAGATAGTAATGCTGTATATGTTGCTTGAATGACGATTTACTACAAAGGATTAATGCATACATAAATATGCTCTACATACAAAAATATATGCATGATTAGGATGATAACAAGGCAGTGACAGTGTTATATAACCTGACAGACTTCATCTACAGAGCTTTTATACCATTAATAATACCAGCTGGAGCAACAAAAACAAAGCATTCATGTTCTTTGCAGTATAAATGTTTCTCTTTTTACAGAATGATTCACAACTGTTGTATACTGTTTGTGCTCAGATACTAAATACCTGAGATACATATTGAAATGTTGAAATATGTTTGTGTATTACAATATCTCAGTTTTTTAAGGTGTGATATTTAAAAGATGTTGCATTATCTTTTGCGATGGTATGGATATATTTTATTTTTTCCCTAAACCATTCCTAAAATACTATGTATTTCCACAACATCATATTTTGTATGACTTAGATGCCAATGTATTTTTATCCTGTTTTGTTACCATTTCTTATTGTTTTATAGAGTTTTTTTTCAAGTGCAAATCCAAAATAGGAATGTTGCCATAATAAGATTTGTATTATAGATCCAGTGATCAAGATAATAAGTATAAGTCATTGCTACTGTGATACATTTGAGTTGAATAGTAAAATTATTGTGTATTTAGTTCTTTCGTACACTTTTAAAAAGAAGAGTTCATTTAGGTTCCATTTCAGTTCCAACATTGTAGAGTATCATTACCCCATATTTTTTAATAACCCTATTAAGTTTTGGTATTTTTTTCTAATGTGAATGCATCTCAGGTGCTGGCAAAGTTGCTGAAGGAAACAAATCTGAAAAATAACTGCATACAGATTGTGCAGTTAAGGTATTTGTGGAACAGTACCATAGTTTTGGTTTTAAGAACATATCAAGGGTCTCTTTGTGTAATCATATCATATATGAAATATACTCTTGCAAAATGCTTGTTAGGTGTACTGTGATGTGTTATACATATATATAATTTTTTTCCAGTCATCTTTTACAAAGAGTGAATTGTAACCTCCTCCATTCATTGATACCTGTGGCCTTGACAGCATTCAGGTGTGTGAGAAGCAATTACCGTATCTTTTGCTCGGTGGTTTTTCATTTAATCTTTTCCAGGGATTGGCCCATAACTTTGGAAAAAATTCTTGGAATACACTGTAATCCTTTCTTGAGATACAATGTAATCCTAAATGTGTCAGCATATTATATCTATAGGTGATATGTACTCTGATCTTGTATTAATATCACAGTCATAAAGAAATACTTATAAAAGTAAAAAAAAAAACCTTGATGGTGCACTAGCGGTCAGAAGAGAATGCAGAACATTGCATTACAAGACCTTCATCTGGTGCGAGTTTCCTCTCGTGTGCAATGGATAGTATTGCTACTTGTCTATGATACTCTTGTGCTCATGATGCATCATTGTGACACCAGTAATGGAAAGTGCTTATGTAGGTGTAGATATTTGTATATATATATATTTGTAAATTGTGCTTATTTTGTACATTAGGTGTCTGGATACTTTTGTGTAAATGTCATAGTCAGTGCATATTATATTTTAGTTTATAGGTTAATATTGCCTGAACAAATTTATGTTTCCAGAAATGAGGTAACCGTGGATTCCTCTTACTCTAAAATTGAAATCATTTGTATAGTCTTTATAGTGGTCATCTTGATATGCTCAGATTGTTATGCATAAATTTTGAGCTATATGTTCAAACCTTACAGAAATTTGTTCATATTGTTAGTTATCTGGCTCAATCTTTATTAACCATTCATCTTTTTAGAAAATAAGAAAGGAGATCGTGTTACATCAGCTTGTTCAAGAAAAGTTGATTGAAAATTATCATAAAGAATAAAACCATTATATCTTTGATCTGTTGTGATATCTCATTCAAAAAAAGTTTCCCATGTGAATAGGATTTGTAAAAAGGTATGTTGAAGGATTTTCAACTTTTGTGCAGATAGGAGATTGTGTTACGTTTGATGTGGTACAGCCATTTTACCACTGGTTCTTCTGTATACTGAACTACATTCACACTGAAAGAGCTGAGAAACACAGTAGTGGACCAGAAACTGTATTTTTGCATCTATTGTATACAGAGTTGTATTTGTACTT